AATATAAACGCAAATGGATTCTCCTTGAAGAAGATATTATTAATTTGGACGACGAATGAATTTAACAAATCTGAATTAAAAATAAAAAAGAATTATAGTCTTATGTACGAACTCGATTGATTGTCTATCATATGCGTTTCGCACAATCGTCGTGTAAGAAGGGATCGATATATCCGATGCGGAGAGCACGGATGCTCCACTCGCTCGCGATCCGCGGCAGAATCTGAAGGACGAGCGCGTTATTTCGTTACAATGCCAATGAGGGCCCTCGCGTGTAATTATAGAGGCCGGGACAAGGCGAGAACGAGCAGCCGCTCCGTTGACTTCGCAAAGGGACGGTGGAGGAAGAAGGGTCGCGGAACGGCGCGAGGGGCGGACGACGGTAGACAGTCGATCGGGTCAGCAGGGAGAAAATAATTGACCTCGAAAGTCTAAGAAAAAAAATTGCCGGCGCCCTGGCTTTTACGGATGCGAGGATTTATCTCGCTCTCGGAAGCGCGGTGCTCATGCAAAATCGAAAAAACCGCGTGTGTATCGATACCCCATCGCCGACGTGTTAACCGTCCCCACGATGTGCGATCCTGCGAGAGCGGGAAATAAATATCCTATGTAACCAATGTGTGACATTTCTTTCCCTCTATTCCACTGAGCCGAGCCGCGATGCGATGTTGGTAGTTCCATGGTATCGATTTGATGCACAAAGGTTAAATGTTCCGGTCCAGCGGTTTCAATCGCAATCACATCTGTTTTACCTTACATAAGACCACGGTGCTAGAATATTTTTCAACTTTTTCTCAGAAACGTCTCCCCTTTTACGGTCTGCAGTCGTGAAAGACTGGGAAGGACCACTCAGCTATCCTTTCCTCGATAGATTAGGTAAAGATTAACTTTTTAAAGGAGAAAAATCGTTTCAGGATGAATAATAATATCGAGTTAGTTTTCATTTTGCCTTTAATCCTTTGGAGATTCCATACTATATCGTTTTATCATGTATCTATCACTGGATATGGTTAAAAATACTGTATAAAAATGAACATATTAAATAAACGTCCAAATTTTTCTTTCAATTGAAACGTCAAAGAATGTAAAGCAAACACTGAGAAAAATGGTCTGGTTGGATTAAATAGTAATTCTGATGGAAAATGAACGAATCAGAATTTTCTGGTTAAGTCTATTAGAATTCTAGTTGAGATAACTAGAATTCTGATCAATATAACTATTCTAGTAAAAATAAGAATTCTACATTGAGAGAAAAACGTCGAAGTATTGTGAAGCAAATGTTACTTACGAAACTTGATTGTGATGACGAAATATACATTTCTGTGAAATATATCTTATTTCTGTGAAATATATTTCATTTCTGTGAAATATATCTCATTAATTGCAAAAAAATAAAATAGATGGCTTATTTGCTAGGAATAAAATTTCATTTCGCCCGTATTTAAATAAATATTTATTTCAGTGAAATAAATGTATTTCTCACAAATATATTTTTAGACATCTTTTTCTCAGTGTAGTAAATTTTACAAGAAATATTATATCAACCAGAATTCTGGTTATCTCAACGAGAATTTTAATAATTTTAACCAGAAATTTCTGATTCGTCCATTTTCAACCAGAAATTTTTTTCAGTGAATATTCGTATCTTCATTATAATAAAAAAGTTATAGCATACACACACACACACACACACACACACACACACACACACACACACACACACACACACACACACACACAGAGTAAAAACATTTTGTAGGTATTTGTGTTAGAAACGATTCATTCATGCTTTGTTAAAATTTTGTGTTGAATGTTTAACGTATCCGAGTATTAATTTAACATAATGTGTTATTTGAATATTTTGTGTTAAATTCAATTTCTTAGTATTAAAATAACGTAATTTATAAATAAATGAACGCGAACATAAAAATAATATTTTTTTAAAACATAAATTCTGAGATAAATGAATTAAATGTGTTAATAATCATATTATAAATATTAAATTTATTGAAACATATTAATTTGACATGTTATAAATGTTAATTTTAATGAAGAAATATAATTGTTTGCAAATTGTGTCAGTGTTACGTTTTTTTGTGTTAATTTTTTATGTAATTCTAAAATTAAAACATCTTTCTTCCACCTGCTGATTTTTCGATTATTTTTAACTTAATTTTCACAATCTTTTGATGATTTTTAAAAATAATGAAATCTCAACAAGTTTTTCTTATAAGTGATTGAAAATGTGAAATGTTTTTTAAACTAAACTTTCAAATTGCCGATAGATAAATCTATTTTTTTTTTCATTTCAAGACTTTTATTATATCGTTAAATAGAAATTTAGTTTTCAAAATACGTTGAAAACTAATAATTATGAGAAGTAACATTGGATTCCATTAAATTCTCTATCCGGTTAAAATTGGTATTAAAAAATTGACAGGGTAAAGAAATCTTGCATTTGATGTAATTGCATTTTGTATATTGATGATATCAAGACGTGCAGATTGTTCGATCAAATTTTCCACATTGCGAGAAAATTGTCGACGAACATGCGGTGCCTACAAAAGCTTTAATTCACATTGTTCATGCGCGCAATTAAGCCTGTTTAAAAGTGCCGCGTCACTCGTGATTATTAAACAGCCGCGGACACAACGAGTGCGGGACAAATGTTAACCGCATAAAAGGTCCGACGAAATCACGCCCTGTTCCCCCCCCCCCCC